CACACACTTACTAGCTGTGTGATCCTGGCCAAGTCACTTCACTCTATCTGCCTCAGTACCTCATCTACGAAATGAGCTGGAGAAGGAAATGGCAAACCACTCAGGTTATCTTTGCCAAGAGAATCCCAGATGAGGTCATGAAGAGTCGGACGCAATTGAACAACAAGACATTTTACTTGCTAGATTGTATCCAGAGGTGGGTGACCAGGATTGTAGATGACTGTGTATGTCACACACAGATCAGAAGAAGGAACTAGGGTTTCTTCACCTGAAGAAGAGAAGATTTGGGGATGGGGTAGGATGGAAGGCGAGATGTGCTAGTAGGTTCTCAAGTGTTTAAATGGATGTTAGATAGAAGAGAGATTAGATTTTCTTGGTTTGACCCTGGAACAAGTGCTCTTGACCTGGGGGTCTATGAATTTGAAGAAAGGGGAAAGGAGTTGGGCCTAGGAACGTCAGAGGGGGAGTGGGATTACCTGTGATCTTGTGAAAGGTGATGATACTACTCCTCCCACTCCTAAATTCCTTCTTCCAGAAGCTTTGTAACACCAAGTGAATGAAAAAAAAGTTTTGTTCCCTAAACTCACCTGGCCATAGCCATCTAATAGTAGAAAGATCATCATTGGATTAGTCAGAGGCCCTACTGCTTCTGTGAATTTGGGGAAGTTCTTTCGGCTTCCATTGTCTAGTTTTCAAAATGAGGGAATTAAGCTAAATGATCTCAGTCTGAGCTCCTTTCCAGCTCTCAATCCTATGATACCCACTAAATCAGAAAGTACGACTTCCTTCAGGAAGTCACCGTTGATTCACCCCACCCTTGTTCAGCCCATCGACATAATCTTATTCTCCTGTATTATTTCTAAAGATTTACCATCCCCATCTTATACATTTAAAACTAGAAGGAATCTTAGGGGTCATCTAGTCCAAACCCCTCATTTTCCAGATAAAGAAAAGGAGGTCCAGAGACATTAGAAGAAGACTTAATGAAGTGATGGGTGATAAAATTGAGATTCAAACCCAGATCCTTAGATTTCCAATCCAGCACTATTTATACCAGTGGTGTTAAATGCAAATAGAAATGCTGGCTGTATATTGACTCAGAAAATCACAAATTAACATTACTTATGTTTTATTTATTTTGTTAAACATTTCCCAATTGCATTTTAAAATGGTTCTGGTGAAACTCTGGTTTTGTGGGCTATAGGCCAAGAGTTTGACACCTGTGTTTGCACTGTACCACACTGCCTCTCATTCCTAAATCTTTGAGTTAGATGAAAAGGAAGGCTACTCTCTAGAGGTTACTTGTCTGGACAATCTAGCTGCCAGGGTAACTGCTTTGGGAAACAGAATCGAGTAAGGGATTTGAGGAGGGAAACTTGAAATTCTGAAATTAGGATGAAGAAACTTGAGTCATCTGAGCCCCAGTTTTTTTAGAATTCATCCAGGGATGGGGGACCATGAGAATTTTCATAGTCTAAATGAGGAAGTCTCTTCTTCCTGGCTGTATTGGAGACCTGGATGCATATCCTCTTTCTTTCTAGCTGGAAGGACAGGTGGTGATTTGTCCATGATGATCTTGTCCACATTGATAAGGCTTTCAAAATGGCCTTGGCAAACTATGGAACCAGTTGCTGTCAACTTCAAGAAAGCCATTATTTTCTTGATCTGGGTAGAATTCTATCTCGGAGTCAGGAGTAAAGTAAGGAGAGAGGAAAGAAATATTAAGACAATATTGTGGTAATTGCCATAAGGATAAGAAGAAGACAATCAGGCTGTCAGAGAAGACCAATTAGATACACATCAGAGGGTAATAGTTTCCAAACTTTAATCTACAGCTGCTCAAGGTCCCCCAAAGACATCCTTATAAGAAAATTAACCTGGTCCATTGTAAAGAACACTAACTTTCATACAAGATTGTCTGGGTATGAATCTTGCTTAGCCGCTCATTACTTTGGACAAGTCCCTTCCTGTCTAGGGACCTCAGTGTTACCCACTAGAAAACAAAAGGATTGAACTACATTTTTTTTCCTAAAATTTCTTCCAATTCTAAACCTCATGATCCAGTCACGTTTCCCATCTATTTGACTACTCTCCTTATGAATCCCATACTTATAACATTGGAGCTGGGGAATGGAGAAACCACTGAAGTTATCCAGTGCCTAATGTTAGATAGCAAGGCAATGTAGTGAAGAGAAAATCACCCTCAAGACCTGGTTTCAAATCCTGCCTCTGACACATGTTGAATGGGTAAACCTAGGTAAGCCATGTTATTTCTAGGTGCCCCAATCAGCTTTCTGAGGTCATAACTATAGAGGTGTGCTGGTCTGGAGTGTTAGAGAGAGTTTCCTATATCTGAATTTGTAAAAGGAATTTCTTCATCAGAACTTCCCTGTACTAATAAAACTATAAATATAAATAAAAATAAATAAATATAAATATAAATAAAGCTATAAATATTGTTTTAAAACACAGAAAATCATCATATTGAGAAATGAGTATGGAGTTTCCCCTAAGAACTTAAGTTCAAGAGAGGGAAGAAGATAGACAAATTCAATTCACATCCATAGGAATAGACCTATCCCCCAAAATAGTGGCAGCTAGGTGGCACAGTGGATAGAGCTTCAAATCAGGAAGACTGAGGTTCACAAGTTCAAATCCAGCCTTAGATACTTGTGAGCCTGGGCAAGTCACTTCAACCCTGTTTGCCTCAGTTTCCTCATCTGTAAAATGAGCTGGAGAAGGAAATGACAAACCGCTGCGGTATCTTTGCCAACAAAATCCCACAGGGGGTCACAAAGAGCTGGACACGAATGAAAAACCTGAAGAGCAGCAAATCCCCAAACTGCAGACTGACATAAAGAGTGGGATGGCCTGGATTGGGCAATAAATCTCACGGTCTTATTGGAGTCTACATGAGGCCAGACAGGGAGAGTTTCCTGCTTGGTTCCTGCTGGGGGTGTTATCACCCTCATTAGCAGACCTGGCATCAATAAACAAGCGTTGAGCACACAATGCCACTTGCAGCTTCAAAAAATGACTGAAACACACCCCCAATTTTGGACTGGCTTCAGAAAAAGGCCAGATTGGATCCAAGACACTCTAAAGCAGATCAAAACAAAGGGAGAAATGCTCTCAGCTGCTCTTCTCTCCTCAAACATCTTTCCAAGCCTGTGAGTTGGGCCTTGGATACAGCTACGAGGAGAGCTGAAGCCCCTAGAAGGAACGCCAGGCTGGGTAGGAGGGAACGTTTCAGGTTGGCTAGCAGAGGGGGTCATCCTGTATTTCCTTCTAAGCTTGGCAGTGTAGCCAGAGGTTGACTATTTTATCTCTCTGTTTCTATGTCCCTTGGGAGGTGACAAGGATGTAGGAATACTTTTCCAGGACTGTCTAAACTGACTCCCCAGTCTTGAGCCCTGGAATGGAGCAAGGCACACCTATTTGCCAGCTGGAACTTGATGTCAATGGAGTTTTGGAAACCCAGAGGTCAAATCAGAGCCTCATCCCTCTCTTCAATCCACAGCTGTGCTCCCATCTGGCAAATCCTTAGGAAAACACGCACACACACACACACACACACACACACACACACGCACACACACACACACACACACACACACACACACCACACACACACACACACATGCAAGCTGAGTACATTAAGCCCTACCTGGAGCCCCAGCTGTCACATTCTTTTTCAGGTACCACTTCTTCTGCCAGATACTTAACGGAGATTGGGGGACCACCTGTTGCGATGTCTCTTGCTATGAGGGGGAGCCAGGAGGGAGAACCTGACTTCCCCAAATGCTAGAGATACCCATCAGTTTCTTGTTTCCTGAGCATAACAGGACTTTGATCTGTTCTCCTTAGCCCCATTCTTCCAAAACCCCAAAAGGAAGGATCTTTCCTAGTAACAGAATGGCATTTCCTTACCCATCCCTCCACTTAGATCCAGTCCCCTTGCAAAAAGCTGGAGCCCACACGTTCCATTTAGGCAAGCATCCTGTGGAACAAATCAATAGAGTGCTCACTTCAGGATGACTGTTCCCCACCTCAAGGCTGTAGCCATTCGGTTCCCTGGGAGAGAGGCAGAAAGAGGACAAAATGAAACTTTTTACCTGTGACTAGCATCCATAACCAGAAATCACTCTCCTTCCCCACCTCCCCAAGCTGCTGCATGGGAGTGGGTGGATGGTAGCTTTATCTAGGGACTTCTGTCTCCGTGTATCTCTTCTCTCCGTGGTTATGATTATGGTTTTTTTTTTTTTTAGCCTCTTACATCCCTCTCCCCTGCTCCTAGATCAGCAGCCCTCCTTCGTCTCCGAGGAGGCTGCCTGCTGGCATTTGGAACACTGCCCATCAGAGGAAGCTGGGTAGGAGGGAGGGAGCCAAGGAATGAGCAGGGAAAGGAACAGGGTTCCAGAGTCCAGAACAAGGGCTGGGGGGGAATAGAGCAAATCCAGCCAGTCTCACTGCCTGCCGTGGGCTGTGCTGATGCTCTGCGGTACATCAGCGCATCCAGGCTGACATCCCTGTAGATGCTTAACACAGGGCATTATGTACTGGTTAACAGGCTGGGAGCCGCTGAGAGACTTGTTTTAAGCATTCTCTCTTGCTTGCTTTTAATCTTGTCTCTAGTGGTGTGTGTGTGTGTGCAGGGGAAGGACTTTATTTCCATTGGCTAAGCCCTCCCTTCCCACCCACATCTCTTCCACATCACCTTGGTGTCTCCCCCAAATAAAACCAGCCCTCCTTATCGCACCGAGGAACGAGGTAGAGTTTGAATGGATTTTATATAAACACTCACCCTGCCAAGCGACCGCTGAGCTCCCAGGATAAACTCACAGCATCTGGCCTGGTTCTCTCCTTCTGCTCCCTCCCCCCCACCCTCCCCTCCCTTCCCCTCCCCTACCCCACTCCACTCCACTCATAAATAAGGGTTTAAGCATATTCAGGGGGATTCAAAACTCTCCCTCTCTCTCAATTCACCAACCTGAACTCAGTTTCAGGATTCCAAGAAGGTCCCGATGGATCTCAAGGATACCACCAGTGAAGGCAGCCTGCAGCCGTCCAGCATCCAGATCTTTGCCAACACGTCCACCCTCCATGGCATCCGGCACATCTTTGTGTATGGGCCCCTGACCATCCGCCGCGTGCTTTGGGCTGTGGCTTTCATGGGCTCCCTGGGCCTGCTGCTGGTGGAAAGCTCAGAGCGCATCTCCTTCTACTTTTCCTACCAGCATGTCACCAAGGTAGATGAAGTAGTTGCCCACAGCCTGGTCTTCCCCGCCGTGACTGTCTGCAACCTCAATGGCTTCCGCTTTTCCCGCCTCACCACCAACGACCTGTACCATGCTGGGGAGCTGCTAGCCTTGCTCGATGTCAACTTGGACATCCCTAATCCACACCTAGCTGACCCCACAGTACTGGAGGCCCTGCGGGAGAAGGCCAATTTCAAGCACTACAAACCCAAGGTCTTCAGTATGCGAGAGTTCTTGGAGCGTGTTGGACATGACCTGAAGGATATGATGCTCTACTGTAAGTTCAAAGGACAGGAGTGTGGGCACCAGGACTTCACCACTGTGAGTAACTTGGTTTTCAGTTCTTTTGGGGGTTTTGCTCTCCCGGCCATGAAAGGTGCTTAGGGAGTGGGAGTAACTTGGTTTTGAGGTCCGCTGATACACCAGAGCAGGGCAGCAGGCCATGCCTACAGCGAAGACTAGAAGCTGGGGCAGGCTGGTTGGGCAGTTTTTGAGAGTTTGGCTTGCCAGTGACCAGATTTGTGGAAAGGAGAGCAGCCTGCTGAGTCCCAATATTCTGTTCAGAGTCGTATAGTCTGTGCAGAAGGGAGCTGGAGGTCAGAGAACCCCAGACTCTGAGAGGATCTCTGTGGCATTTCATCTCCAGCTATGTGGGGTTGGCCTTCTAGTCCTCTGAGCTAGCTATCCTGGAGCCCCTCGGTGTCTGAGGAATATGATTGTAATGCTTCAGTAGTGAGTGATGTGGTGGCGGTCTCTCTCTGCTCGGAAGTGGAAAGCAGTCAGGAAGCAGCAGGCACAGGCAGAATCAGCTGGAGCTTCTGGGCATGGGGGTAGGGGGAGCAGTAGGAGAAACACTGAAGGAGAGTGGCCTGGTGATGAAGGGATGGTTCAAGTGGTATCTCTGGCTTGGGACATGGATGTTGGTGCTGAGATGCTGAAATATACAAGGGTCCTTGGCTTTCTTGTCTGCGTGGAATTTTGAGCTTGATGTAGGGGGAGAGGACAGGACAGGAAAAGAGAGGGGTGGACAGAAGAAAGAAGAGGAGAAAGGGGAGAGAAGGGGAAGGGAGGGGAAGGGAAAGAGCATCCAGGTCTTCCTCCATCTGCTGCAAGGTTCAAATAGAGGATATTCTCCAGTACATTTGGAGAGAATTTCCAGACATGGACTGCAACGAAGGATGCTCACTTTAGATCTCCTCTGAGGGTGGAGTAGCTCTGGCTGGTCCCGGAGCTCAGTCTGATGCCTCTGTATGTACTGTAATGTAACAACGTGATAGGAAGATGAAAAAAGAAAAAAGCGGTGGGCTTTGAAAACAGTGCTGGACTGAGGAAGAGTATAGAGCTGAATAGGGTAGAAAGTAGAGAGGGGTGTTTCTCATATTCAGGAAGGTGATTGCTGGAGGGGAAGAAGGAAGTCAGAGGAAGGCAGGGATGCTATGGAGGGGGGAGGGGATGTGAGGGAGGAGGGGGGAGGGGATGTGAGGGAGGAGGGGGGAAGGGATGGCGGGGATGAACTGTGACTGGGAAACATCCTCTGATTACCGCGGTAATAGACTGCCAGGCATCTGTTCTCAGAATAGGTCACTGGGAAGAAAGCTGCAGGAATCTCATTGAATCGAAGCTGGTCAGAAGCCTTTCACTCTATGAGTTGCCCCCATTCTGAGGGTTGCCCTGGGATTTTGCTTTGCAGTGATCCTTGGGCTGCATTGGGGATATCAGAAGCCTCAAGAGCCACCATACCCTAAGCTAAGATTGGGCTGTCTTTTTGGACACCAAGTGTTTGAATCAAAATGGGAAGGGATGCTGTCACCAGAATTTGTTTTAGCACCCAAGGGTGTGTGTGTGTGTGTGTGTGTGTGTGTGTGTGTGTGTGTGTGTGTGTGTGTGTGTTAGAGGGCATTTATCTGCTTAATTAGGGGAAATCCTCCTTAAAAACCTTACTTGGCCCTCCCCACCCCCCCATCCATCTCTTTTTCTTTTCTTTCCCTCCCCCACCAAGTGCCTGGCTCACACTCCCCAACTACTGACATTTTGCTCCTGGATGGATAAATATCTTCTTTCAAACCACCATAGCTTTTGCTAGGAGTGCCTGTGTCTGCTATTTGTAGTCTTTGATTCTGGAGAAAAAAAAAACCCTGAACCAAGTAACTCGCTGAACCCAGATAGATTCCTGAGTCTTGTCTGCTGGGACTTGGTTTCCTATGAGAGTTATTTGTATTTGATTTTTATGTTTTTAAAATAATTAAAGGGGGGAGAAAAGCAGAAAAAAATATAATGTATTATTCCCCTAAAAATGAATGAGAGACTGATGTGAGTCTGAGCCAGGGAAAAGAAGACTGAGTCTGGACATTTCTCCTAAATCCAGAAAAAAAAAATCAGGAACACAACATACACAAAATCTATTTCCTGTGACTGGAAGGAAGAATGGAAAAATATCTTTTCCTCCAAGAATGGAAAATAGCACGTGTTCAACTGAGACTCTCTCATGCCTTATGCCTTAGACCAGTATTATGGCAAAGTTTAGCTTCACTGCTGCACACAGGACATTTCCTGATGCATTTGTGGGAGCACATTTGCCTACACATACTATACTTGTTGCTGTATCTGTATGCACGTGCAGGCTTAGGATAGGGAAAGAGTCACAAGCTTGACTTTCTAGAAACTTGAGTAATAGGTGGTAATAGGCTAAGCTGGAGCTCTAGAAATACCCTGAAGATTCCATGTGAAATCTTGACATACCTTGAAACAGTTGACCATGTTCAGCCTCTAGGAAGTTATTTTTGGTCCTCTGAGCAAAAGTCTGGGGTCTGAATCATGTGGAGCCTTTCTAAGGCTTGAATGGCACAATGACAGAGTTAGGGTTAATGAGGCCTTTGATTGACTTTTCCCAGATGGTCTCTGAGCAAGGAGGCATCAGACCTTTCCAACCCATCATCCCCTTCTATTCCCACAGACCTCCAGTGCTAGAGATGGCTGGGTAGACCACAGTGGATATACTGGGTGCACTTCATCTCATGCTGGTCTTTTGAGGAAATTATTGGTGGTGATGATGGTGGTGGTAGTGTTGTCTCTTCAGCCTGTTTATGAGTTTTGCTGGTGACTTCCCCTCTAGTACACTTTAAGAAACATACATTAGGATCCTGGAGTTTATCCATCTTCACATCACCCCCCAACCAGTGACTTTTCTCAACAAAGGGTCACTTTTCAGGGCCCAGGAGCAAGCCAAACATGAAAGGTTATAGCAAATATGGAATTAGGGTGATGAGTGATTGGTCAATCAGCATCATCTTTCACCTTTCCCTACTGTCAGTGTATATGTGTGTGTGTGTGTGTGTGTGTGTGTGTGTGTGTGTGTGTGTGTGTATGTATGTGTTATACTGGGGAATGGGGGAATGCTATGTCATAGACCCCTCTCACTCAGACTCCTACCTCAGGTTGCCGTTCCAGGAAGCCTCTGCTCTTTCTTCTTCTAAAATGAGGAAAAATTTTTTTTAAAAGTGAGGCCAGAATTATAGAGAGAAGAATGGCCCCCAGCTCTGCTTCATGCTCAGTATCTGTGCTGAAACCCTTCCCTGTTCAGTGTGGTTTATTTAACAAGCTCAATCTGGGTTTTTAATATGCCGCGTGGCTTCTTTCTCCTACAGATAAAGCTGCCTTATTATAGAAGTTAAGTATGGGGGAGGGGGATGTCACGGACAGAGCTGGCTTCTTTTTTTTTCTTCTTTTCCCATAGAGATTCATCTAGTGACATTTGTAGGGTTGATAATCTAGAACAATCTTTCATCTTCCAAGTTCATGACTGGTATGCAGTGAAGTGTGTAATGCCCCTTAATTAGCGAATGGTCCACAATTTTAATCAGAGCTTGAGAGAAGGATGTTTATTCAGGCTAAGAAGTCCCCAGAAAGACATAGATATAATATAGACTGCTTGGTTGTTCATAGATACACACTCTTGCACAGGCACGTACATGTGCACGAGCGCGCGCGCGCGCACACACACACACACACACACACAGAGACACTCATCTTTTCAGACACACCAGGGTTGATCTCAAATGTGCCAGCATGCATCCCTCATGGGCAGTCAGGCGCTTTTTTCATCTTAGGAATGAACACTAAGCTTTGGCTGGGAGGCTGGGTGGAATGGTCAATCTGCCAGAAGGTCCTTCCTTCCATGGTAATGCGCATTTAGACAATAGTCACCTGCTAGAGTGACGGATAGGGTGTATCAAGGGGTGTGTGTGTGTGTGTGTGTGTGTGTGTGTGTGTGTGTGTGTGTGTGTGTCTGTAGGGGGAGGGGCTGTGCTTCTTCTTGATCCTTATTTTCACTGAATTATCTGGGACACAGCTCCTATCGATAGCCATTGAGGGTTTGTGCATCATTACTCAAAGGCAGGCAACATCAGTAGGTGAATGCCATCATATGATCTTAGCTAGAAGACAGCCTAAGGTGCTGATGTTGTTGTAGGTCTCCTATTTGAAGATTACTGAGGGAAGGAGAGGGTTGTGATTGCCCTCAGGCTTGGAGCCTACACATCCCTGGAGTTTGAACTCTTTACCTGACTGTTCCTCTGGGTCTGGGTTTTATACATTAAATTATAGACCTCTACACAGATACTTCTATATAGAGACCTTGTTTAAGATATAGGTTTATGTGAATACATATACATACACACATAGCTACAGCATATATATATATATGTACACACATAGCATTTATACATATGCATATAAGTGTATGTATGTATTTACACATGTATTATAAAGTTACAGTATATATGTACATATACACATATATACACTGTAATGCTCCATCACGGCTGAGATGGTGGCTCAATTGTTGATTATAGAGTCTAGGGAACAGGGACATGACTGATGTGCATATAAAATATATATCTATGGATGATTGACATCAAAGGCATGAAATATGTGTGCCTAGAGGATGGCCCAGGAGCACAGAATACTTTAGGGTCCCCAGAAGGAGAGACTAGGGAAGGACATGGTTGTTCATTTATTTTACTCTTCTGCAGTTTCAGTTTGTTCCTGGGGAGAAGAGAAGGGAAGCAACTTTCTCAGGCACCTTGTGAGGTGGAGACCCAGGGCACTCCTCTGGGCTGCTCATGTCTCAGTAGATTAACATGCCCATCTCTAAGGCTCATTGGCAGAAGCATAACAAGGAATTCTCTAATAGGGGCAAACTGGGTGAGGGTCTGAACCCCAATCCCTAGAGAGGAGGCCTAGAAAATGGGAGACAACAAGGAGGTCATTGGTTAGGGAAGGTGATCCAGGAGAAGGGTATAACTACCATAGGCCCTTAGGGGTGGCAATCCAGGGTGGGCAGGCAGAAAATCATAAGATATGGAGAAGTTGAGTTGTAGTATCTC